GCCACTCTGGTGTGAAGAGCCGCGGGCACTGGGTATGCAGCAGAGGGCTGGGGCTGGGCTGCAGCCTGAGGCGCTGGTCACAGTGCTGCTGCAGCCAGCCTCCGCCAGAGTTTGCAGAATCAGGGGCATCCGTCACGGAGGGCAGGCCTTCTGCCTGTTCCCTGGTGGTGAAGGTTCAGGAGCTTCGAGTGAGAGCTGATTGGCTAACACTCATTTGTGGGCAACTCTGGGGTCCTCATAACCAGCAAGGAGCAGCCTGTAATCCCTGTGCTTGCCCCACGGGGATGGACTGAGGGCAGGGCTGGGGGCACCGCAGGGGTCCTCGCGCCTGAGAGGCTGGTTCTGCCTACCTGGCTGGCAGGCTCAGCCTGGGAAGAGTGTGTCCGGCGACATTTCCCTCGGGGGCACCGTGAGGGGTGTCTTGTTGTCCATGTTAGGACCCCCCTTCTCTCTTGAGTCACTCATCCAGCCTCCCCAGGCCCGCGCGCTGGCTCTACCCAGGGTGGCCTGTGCCGGCCCAGCTCATAGGCCCTCATCATGCCCGCAGGTGGCCACCAGCACTCCCTGCTCTAGGTCTCGTGCTAACACAGGGCCTCAGCAGTGAGCGGGTCCTGGTCCCTGCCCACAGTACTCCCTTTGGGAGGTGGAGACTGGCAGGGAAGAAGTAAACAGCCCCACAGGCAGGGGGACTGCTGTGAGGGAAGGATCCAGAAGGAACAGAGAAATAGGGCCAGTGCTGGAGAGCAGCAGGGGCCAGTGTGGGGGCCACGTTGGGGAGACTGGAAAGGCCTCGCGAGAAGGGGACACACAGGCTGCGTCCTGAAAGGTGAGGAAGAGCATGGGAGGCAGGACAAGGTCGGGGACAAGCCAGGCCAGAGGAGACGGGGTTGAGGAGCTGGCCCTGGCTGAGAGACAGGCCCAGTCCACAGGGAACCAGCCCGGGCCAGGAGGGCAGCAGAGGGCAGCAGGCAGGGTACGCTGAGTTCTGACCGCAGTGCGAGGCCTCGGCAGCGACACGGCCCAGTGTCCCTGTCTGCAGTGGTCCTTCTGAAGGCCATTCTTGTTGGGTGGAGCATGGAGGGAGGAGCAAGAGGGGGAATGGAGAGACCCATGAAGCGGCTTTGCCACAGTCCCTGTGGAGGATGCTCAAGCTCTGGTCACGCTGGTGGTGGCTGTGGGGACAGAGCCGTGTGGGTGGAGGTCCAGTCGAGGACCCTGAGGTCGGCAGCTTGGGGTGGGCCGCAGGGAGGCCTCGAGGTGCCGTGCTAGTTGCGCACAAGGTTCTCCTGTGGCCCTCGATACAGCGGGTGGGTGGTTTGTGAGTCCGTCGTCCACGGGAGGCCGTGGGATGAGAGGAAAGGCTGTCGGGCGCTGGTGACTGCTGAGAAGGGGTGAGAAGAACCCACGGGGTGGGGCAGGCTGGGATCACATAATGTCCCTCTAGACGGGATGCCCATTAGACGGCCCCGGGGAGATGCCCTGAGCTCAGGTGGGTTGAGCTGGCACCTGGGTTGAGTTCGGAAGCCCTGTGTGGTGTTCGGCCTCCGCGGCGGCCAGGGCCCGCTCACCTCCCGCTCCACGCTCCACCCTCACAAGACACGTCCCAGCAACTACCTCACGTCCTGCGTCCCGGGGCTCTTCCCGGCCCTGCTCTGAGTCCGCTGTCTGGCTGCGATGGCCTCTGCTTCTCAGAGGTGGACACTGAGGTTCGGAGGCCAAGAGGCCTGGAGGGACCTATCCTGGGTCTCATAGTAGATGAGTCGGAGTCTCGGAGCTCGCCCCCATGTCTCTGAGGACCTTGCTGCCTCTCCCGGTCACACCACCCCCAGCTGCCACAACCCAGAGTCGGCCAGCATGTGCTGTGCTGAGATCTTCCTCTAAACTTAATGGCCACAAGAACTTTCCAGAACTGGTATTCCCAATATGCAGGAGACCTGGAGCTCAGAGAGGTCCATGCCTGGCTGAGGTCACACAGCTTGGGAGAGGGAAGCCAGTCCTCATGGGAGACACTGAGGTGGTGATCTTTTGACCTCTCACTATTGTGGCCCATGGAGCCAAGAGGCCTTGGCTTTGCTCCCCAGAGAAGGTCCACGTCTGTCCCAGCCTCAGTTTCCTCATCCATGAGATGGACCCAAAGAGATTTCCTATGTCCTCTCTGCTAGTCTAGAGAGGAAGCTAAGGGCACGGGAACCACAGAGCCATGTGAATGCCAGCTGGGGGTGTGCCCCAAGAGGCCAAGTGGGATGCCCAGGAGTGGGGAGTGGCCCTTCCTGTGCAGGCCTTGCCGGGACCCTCAGCCCTCCACCCAGGTGGACACCTGGGCTGGGGAGAAGGCATGCTTCCTAGTGGGGACGGCTGTGGTCACGGTGGCCGCAGGAGCCAGGAGGGTGGAGGAGATGCTGGGGGAGCAGAGAGCCTGTGTCGCTGGAGGAGGGGGTGGGCAGGGTGTTACTTTTGGCCGATGGATCTAGTATTGGAATGTTTAATGGACACGCAAGGGTGGTGTCAGTGAGAAGCTGGAAATTGGCGACTTCGGCCTTGTCCATCTCTGTAGCTGCTGCTAGTCCTGCTACACACCACGGTAGGCATTTCCCCAGAGAACAGGACATCAGAGGGAGACCTACTAGGTGCCTGGACTTTTAAGCTACCACATCTGCAGGCAGATGCCAGCAGAAGGCTCCTCCAGGTGTTTCCTGGGACCACATTGCACCTGGGCACCAGTCGGCCTGTCAGGTGCTCACTAGTGGCAGAAGTCCTCCTTCACGCCTCCTTGTGGTCATCAGGATCCCTGTAGCTTGTGGTGGGCGTTGGGCCTTTTTCTGTAGACTCTCGTTCAAGCGAGTCGAATGAGCTGACCATAGGCCTCGAATGCGCAGTGTGGGGAAGAACTCAGGCCGGGGCCACCCTGACCTGGACGGGACCCAGGCTGTGAAGGGAGGAATGTTTCTGTGCCTTATTCTAAGGCTTCTCAGTTATTTTAACAGATATTTCTTGAGTGCTGCCTTGTCAGCGTTGGCAGTAATCCCCCTTTGTCATCAGTTTCATTTTCTATGGTTTCAATTATCCTTGTCAACCATGGTCTAAAAATATTAAATGGAAAAGTCCAGAAATAATTCATAATTTTAAAATCACCTACAATTATGAGTAGTATGATAGAATCCCATGTTGTCTCCGCTCCATGCTGCCCAGGACATGAATCATCCCTTTCTTCAGTGTATCCATGCTGTATATGCTACCCGCCTGTTAGTCACAGGAGCCATCTTGGTTATCAGGTCAGTTGTCATGGTATAGCCGTGCTTGTGTTCAAGAAAACCTTGTTTTACTTAATAACTGCTTCAAAGGACAAAAAGTAGTGATGATGGCAATTCAGATATGCCAAAATGAAGCTATAAGTGCTTCCTTTTAATGAAAAGGTGAAAGTACATAAGATATTATGAGAGACAGAAAGAGAAAGATCATATTCACAAAATTTTTATTATAGTATATTGTTATAATTATCGTATTTTATTAGTAGTTACTGTGTTAAGCTGTATCTAATACATACAATCAAACTTTATCATAAGTAGGCGTGTATGGGAAAAACCGTGGTCCATATGAAGTTCAGTGACATCTTCCCACAGCTGAGGGAGGCCCACTGTGTCAGGGCTTTGGGCTGCGTGAGTCTCTGTTGTGGGGCTGATCCATGCACTGTAAGGCCTCCCGTGGGCCAGTAGCAACACTCCATCCCTCAGTCGTGACAGCCCAGAACGTCTCCAGACACCTCCAGATGTGCTCCCTGGTGGAGAAACACTGGCTCAGTCCTGCTGTTGGCCAGCTTTGAGCCTGACCCCACTCCCACCTCTTGTGTATTCAGGCAGAGCTGGCTCTGGGCTGACACCTGGCGCAGGTGAGGTCCTCAAGTGTTTGCACTGCCTGGCTGCCCACCTGGCCTCCCACCTCCTGACCTGGCTGCTTTGGCTGGATTCGGGCTGAGACAGTGCCAGTCACTCTGAGTGGGTGGGGGGGAAGAGAGTTGGGGTGTGAAAGGTGAAGCACAGCTTGGGGCAGTGCCTGTGGTTGGTTGGTCGTTATTACCCAAGTATTTGTGGTGCTAAGCTGACCCTGGGACCCTGGAGTTTATAAGGAAGGGGGCACCTAGGTGCTGGGCAGGGAGGCACGGGCAGTGGAATCCCACAGGGGACTCCATACCCAGGGGTTAAAGAAGGAAGTCTTCCTGGAGGAGACGGTGTCCCAGCTGTGACCCGGAAGATGAGCAGGAGTTGGCCAGGCACAGGAAGGGGAGGGATTCGTCTGGGCTCACTTTTAATAAAGTTTTAAAAGTTTTTTCTGAAAAAAATCAATTCCCATTTAGTAGGTTATATAAAAAAGGCCAAACCATCTCAAAGGTCCCTGGGTCTACACCTCTGTGGGAAGTCATGTCCTCAGTCCCCCATACCCAACGGACATGTTTGGCTCACGTGAGGCCCAGGGTGGATATCGAGTGGAGTGTGGTGGGGGTGGCCTGTGGCATGGAGGGGGCCTGCCCCTCCTGTCCATGCAGGTACTTACTTTGGCAACAGTGACCTCCCCGGATGCCTTCTGGCTGTGTGCTGAGCCTGGCAGGAGGGACAAATAGCAGGACAGGTGCGGCATCTGAATCCGAGAGGGGCGCAGCCATCGTCTCCACACAGTGAGAGCTCATTGAGGCTCGCCGCATGTCCGCTGGGGGACTGTCCTCCCTCTGTGGCCTGATGAATGGGGCTGATGGGTGCTTCCTCTCACTTGATCTCCACAGGGAGAGAATGTGCTGGATCAAAAACAGTGTGGTGAGGCATACACTGAACGTGAAAGCCCACCTCCCCTTGGCCAAAGCCGGGTACCTGGCCCCCAGGTGTCCAGGAAGGACCATCCTGCTGGACCGGGGAGCTAGTGGCCAACATGCAAGACACCCCACCCTCTAGCGATGTCAGGCGTGCGAGCAGCTCCTGGTGACCATCTGTGCTGTTCCTCTTCCCATGCAGCTACAGCCTCCGCCTGGCGTCCCGATGCCCTCCACCGACGGCCCCGTACATCACCAGGCAGTGTAGGAAGGTCAAGGCCCCTGCCGCAGCCCAGTTCCAGGGACCCTTCTTCAAAGAGTAGACTCTTCGCCTGCTCCCTGACAGGTAGGAGACCGGAGGCAGCAGGTAGGCGCAGCTCTGACAACATGCAAGGAGATCACGGGCCCCGGGACTTGGCGTGGGTCCGGGGTGGGGGGAAGGGAGGACTTACGAAGCCCCTAGGAGCCAGACACAGCTCCTTCTTGCAGGAAGGGCATTTAGTGGCCAAGAGCACAGATCCTGGACCCCCAGGGTTCAGACCCCAGCTCTGTCCCTTGCTGTCTGCAGGACTTCAAGTCACTTAATCCCTGAGCCTCAGTTCCCACATCTGTGAAGTGGGCTCTACGTCAAAGCCTACTTCTTCAGATGATCACAGAAATTGTAAGTGTTAAATGTGTGCAGAGCGTTTAGCCCAGTGCCTGGTGCACAGTCAGCATTAGGAAGTGTGCGCTATCGTAATGGCAGTAGTCATCAGATGTTTTGAGCATAGTATTCATACTCAGTACTCAATCAGTACCTTCAGAGGCCGTGAGGGCTGGGCTGCAGCTCAGTGGTACAGCGCTTGCCCCTCACGGGTGAGGCCCTGGGTTCCATCCCCAGCCCCACATAAAAACAAATACATAAAAAGATACTGTGTCCATTTACAACTGAAAAACTATTTAAAAAAAAGATTATGTATGGAGTCCTTATTCCCACAATGTATTTGAAAATCAAAACAATACTAAAAAATTCATAAAATACAAAATTAAGATTTGTGTGTAGTCTCTTTTCTAAGTTTTCCAAAGGTAAAAACCTAGAGTTGTTCTAAGTTTTCTGATGATAAAAACATGGAAGCTAGACTTTTCTTTTCCGAGTGTCTGGGCTTTGCCAGTGCCCCACGAGCAGGCTTGGTGACAGCACAACTGCATCCATTGTGTCCTTGAGATCGGTATCCCAAAGCAGGACCCGGGGACCCAATCATAAGAGCTGGCACAGTTACAAATACAGACACAGGGTCCCGCTCTGAGTCAGAGGTGAGCCTGGTCCTGGGACACAGTGGCGCTCAGAGGCTTCTGCTCCACGCGGGCAGGACTGGACCACGAGCCAGGGGCATTTTGATGAGGACTTAGTGGTTCAAGGCAGAGATTGCTGCACTGTGCCCCCGGGGCCTTTGGTGTTGGGCCAGGGAGCCAGCCTGTCCTTCTGCCTGTCCTCCCATCCTCCCTTCTCCTCTCTGCAGCAGGTGGAATGTCTGGGCTTGGCCTTACTCCTCTGGAGGCTGGGGAGAAAATGAAATACCATCCACCTTCCCCAGAACTGAGCCCCTCTCTCTGCCACCCGCTGCCCCCTGGAAGGGGATGTGACTCTAAACTGGAGTCCAGTGGGGCAGAGTTGAAATGGACCCTAAGCAGCACAGGTCTGGGAGGCCCCAGAGGTAAAGTCCTCCTCCCATTTCACAGATGGAAAAGCTGAAGCCCTGAGAGGAGAGGCTGAGGTTTGTTCAGAGTCTTTGGAAGATTAGAGGCCGGGTCAGCCTGAGCCCCAGCCTGACCGCAGCCTGAGCCTCCGTGGTGGTGACGTAGAGGAAGGGGTGTTCTCGGCAGCCCAAGAGATCAGGTGCAGCCGACCTGGCTTCCTAAACAGAGCAGGCCACTGCAGTCTGGGGATGGTGACCAGGGCCAAGGGCCACATTTGCCCAGGCTTATCAGTTAGGCTGTCCCTAGGCCAAGACAGGGACAGGGACAGCACCATCCTGAGCGGGTTCATTCTTTCCCATGTTTTCAGCCCAGAGTCCCGGCTGGGGTTGGAAAGGACGAGTCCTGGGTAATGTGTCTGCCCTCGCCGTCCGTGTTCCAAACACGACTGTTGAATCTGTGCCTGAAACTTGTGCCTTGAAATCTTACTTAGCCTTTTTTCTATTTTTAAAATGTGTACCCCAAGAATCTTTTACTTACATACTTTTTTAATGATTTTTTTAAAAAATATCTCACACTGTTTGCCTGTCCGCCTGGGCTACTTTAGCGGGACACTACCTCGTGGTTCTCGCTGGAAGCCTGAGGTCAGGGTGCACGCAGGCTCAGGCTGTGGCCCTCCCTCCCGCTCCCTCTGAGTCTTTCCTGCCCTCGGCTGAGGGAAGGGCCAGCGCCTGTGCCTTGGCTGCTCACACAAGCTTCCTCTCACTGCTGCTGCTCCTTCGGTAAAACTGGTGACCCTGGGGCCCTCGGTGGAGCAGGATCCTGATGCTGACCCTCTTGCCGGGTGTGCGGTGAGAGGTGGCCTCCCTGGCCTGTTCGCCCGGTAGAAGGGCTTCCTCTGCCTCCTCCTAGCCATCCGTCCGTGTCCACCACACAGCAGATGGATGGCTGGAGGGCGGGACAGCCGGAAGGTGGCTCTCTTGGGTAGGGGACAAGGCACTATGGCTTCTTCTATGGATCCTGCTGACCAGGGGAACCCCACGTTCCCTGACTGCGCGAGGCCAAAGGAATGCGGACTGCCTGGTGGCTGGCCTCTGTTTTCTTTCCTCCCCGCTGCTCCAGGCAGGGCAGGGAGGGGCCAGTCTGCATCAGCAGTGTCGTGGGGCAGGGAAGCTCCCCCTCTTGAAGGCACCCCACTCCACCACGGGCAGCTCCTCCCAGCCCCACCGATAGGTTTTGGGAGCCGGAGTTGACGTGGATTAAGGGTGCAGCTGTGGAGCCCAGTCCTGGCCTGTCAACTGTACTCCCGTGGGGACCTGCGTCTCTCTTTCAATCCTCCTTCTGTAAATGGGCTCATCCCACCACCTCCCGTGGTGTGCGGAGGATTGCACTGAAACAGCACTGCTGTCGTTATTACATTATTATCAGTACTAGTAATGCTAGTCATAGTACTAGTTAGTAGTAACGGCGACTAGGTCCACTGACTGAGAGACCTGACTCCCAAACCTGGCCCAGCCCAGTTCCCGGCTCCCACCCAGGGCGGCGCATGCCGCGTGCTCACCTGGGCGCTGTGAGCGGGCGCTGTAAGCTGGGTGCTATAAGCTGGGCGCTGTGAGCCGGGTGGGCGCTGTGGGTGGGCTTTCTGCAGAGGCAGCCCACAGACAAAGCTGTCTGTTGGTCACCAGGACACGCAGGATCTGGAGCAAGCTTGACGGGGGTCAGGCGCTGTCCCTGGTGCTCCTCATCAGTCTGACCTTGTAAAATGTTTTCTTCCCTCTGAGCCTCAGTTTCTTTTATGTAAAATGGGGGTGTGCCCCTGGCAGGAGGCTGTCGTGAGTGTTCAAATGAGCTTAAGGAGGACAGCGACTGCCTGGGACACCTCTGGGGGTCCACGAGGCTGGGCAGAGGGCTACCTGAGCCCAGCAGTACCGCGTCCAGGGCCTGGCCTGGCAGAGCCGTGCACGAGTGAACACCAGGAGCGTTTCTGTGGTAGCTGTGCACACCCTCCACCCAGCGTCCCCTCTCACCAGAGCGCGTGCCCACACCCACCGAGTCTTCTAGACGCACACAAGAATGTTGGCGCAGTGTGAGTCACAATGGCCTCAACTGGAAACCGCCAGGTTTCACATTGCGGTAGTCAAGGGGATTGCCTGGCGTGTCCCCACAGGGGAACGCTGAGCAGCAGCTGGGCTGGCAGCAGGGAGCCTTCGCAGGCACGCCAGGCAGAGGTGCAAAGGACGTGCACCCAGGATTCTGAGCGTTGGTTCAAAAATGAGCAAAACCAATCAGAGGGGGCTGAGTTCATGACAGCGGCTGTTCTAGGGGACAGGGAGGCATCGAGGTTACCCTAAAAGGTGTCCTGGGCCGGGGGCCAGCGGGCAGGTGCACTGCTGTGTTCCCCGGATGTCCTCACGCTGCTGCTGTCCTGTGTGGCTGCTGCAGTAGAGTGTCACTTTAAACCTGAGCAGGACCATGCATGAAGAGGCTGAGGCAGGCGCTGACCTTGGGCCACTGTGCTCTCTTCCTCTCTCCGCAGCACCTGAAGTGACCTGGAAGCGCGAAGCCAAAGGGCCCGGCAGTCTGCCTGCAGGGAGCACCGACCCACGGCCTTGCCAGACTGTGAGAGGCAGGGGAGAGCGTGCGTTCGAGGCTGTGTGTGCAGGTGACGCACGTGGACTCCAAAGGTCCTGAACCCGGGGAGCAGGAAGGTGGCTGACCACTTGGTCTCTGTCGATCCTGGACGCAGCCTGGACCTTGCTTGGCGGTTCAGCCTTCCTGGCGGGTGGGGGCACCTCTCCTACTATGCAATTTTTCAAGAGCCCCTTGACCCTCCTCTTGCTTCTCCAGTATCCTTTGCCATTGTGGGGACTTTGTTCTGGCCCTGGGGGTCAGCTTCAGGCCTGTCTGAGAAAGGCCTTCAGGAGGAGGCCTAGCTCCCCTTCAGGACCACCCCCTTCCCCACGGACCCTCTCCCCACAACATTTCTGGGAATCCATAGCATACAGACCCCTTGGAGCCAAACCTGGAGGCTGGGCCCTAGCACTCGGGGAGCCCCATTTCCTGCCCAAGCAACCCAGACTGTAGCTCTCGAATCATTTCCCGGTTTGAGATTCCAGTTGGTCCCTTGCTCTTGAGTCTTTGCAGGGAAGCCCTACAGCAGGTGCATCCAGGAGAAAGACTGTCCCCATTCATAGATGCCATGGCACAGGGGATGGTGCATGGAGGACGGGGTCTCTGTGCCCTTCATTGCCTGGCTTGTTGGGGACCATTACACCTTCAGCGTCTGAGCTTCTCAAATAAGCTGCAAAGGAAAGCAAACAAAGCTGGACACGGGGCAAAAATGGAAGGACTAAAAAGCACAGGGGAAAGACAAAGAGATTTCCGGAGGCCATAAATGCCTGCCAGGGAATGAGGGGGCTGACCCCTGCTCTCTGGTGGACAGTCCATGTCTCGGGGAAACGGGTGACTGAGCTCAGAGTTTGGACCCGGTTCAGTGAGGTTCTTGGGTTTTGTGCCTTTGGGACAGACCCCAGATGAAGATGCCTGAGACCGCTTTGGTGTCGTTTTCTCAACTTTGTTCCAGTGGTGATGTGTCCAACCCAAAGTGGAGGAGGGGACTCGGGGACGTCGTCACACAATAAAGGGATTTTTTTTTTCAGGGCTACTATGGTTGATCTTGCAACTCTGTAAATATGTATGTAGACACTTTTAAAAGCACGTATTTATGTCCCTGACTGTAAATGCTCCGTTTTTAAGGTTTTATAACGTGTGTTATTTAATTAAGCAGTCAACGGGCTGCAGCGTGGGGTCAGGTCATGGTCAGGAGAAGAGTCTCACGAGAGCCTCACGCGGGCAGAGAAGTGGTGACCGGTGGCCGATGTACGCTCCCGTTTCCCGCCCGCTGAACTGCGCCTTTTGTTTTTAATTTCCATAAACTGGAATCCTCTGCGCTCCTACAGTGGACTCTCACCAGCATGGAAAACTGTGGCTGTCCCTGGTCCTGACAACGACAGTTTCGCCCCGTAACTGCCCACACCGTGAACTGCACCCCAGCGCTCAGCTCCTGAAGGCTCCCCCTCCGAGCTTCGGGGCAGCTCCTGAACCCAGACTCCAGTCACCTTCGGCCCGTGGTGAACTCTGGGGCCACCCGGGGAGACCGCTGTGTCGCATGGGCACAGGTGCTGCTCACCCTCAGCACTGGGACTGTCGGGAGAAGTGTGGCCACAGTGAGGGGGCTGTGAAGAGAGGGGTCCCTGGTGGGTGGAGTCGGGGGTGGATGGTGGAAGGTGGTTCTGTGTCCGCCAGGTGGCGAAAACCAACAATAAAAGCGTGAAGAGCCATGGTGAGGAGTGGGCGCCGCAGGCGCCGCGGGTCTCTGTGCTTCGTCGTCTGGGCTGGGAGTCCTGGGCCAAGGGGCCCAAGTGGGCAGAGTCTTGTGACGCTGTGGAAGCGCCCGCCCCACCAGCACGGCTGCTTCGCCTGCCATTTCTCTGAATGGGAAGGCCTCCTGTGTGGCCAGCACTCGCCTGTCCTCCCACAGCCTCCCTGAGGTCCAGTTCACGTCTGTACCGTTCCCCTCGTGTGTACAAAGCAGCGTGTTTGAGCATATTCAAGTCGTTCGGCCACCGCCATGTGCAATTTTAGAAGACGGTCATCACCCCAAGGAAACGCTGTACCCACCAGCGGTCACTCCCTTCCTTCCCAGATGCCTGACTACAAGTCTGTCCCCAGGGCTTGGCCTGCTCTGGACGGTTCATGTGAGCAGGCCGTCCAGTCTGGGGCCTTCTGTGATGGCTTCCTTTGCCTGGCGTGGCGTTCCCAGGTGGAGCAGCTGTTGGTGCATACTCCTTTTGGTGGCCCAGATTCCCCTGAGGGGACGTCCAGCCAGTCTGCAGCGCCGGGCATTCGGGCCGTTGCCATTGTTAAGGCTGATGCGTGTCTGGGGAGAGTCTGTGCCCACGTGATGTCCTTGGGCATGTAGCAAGGGGGGACGTGCAGGTCACATTGTGGCCACTCTGTCTTTGACATTCTGAGGACGTGCTAACTGTTATCCAGAGTGGCCACACTGCTTCATATCCCCACCACAAGGGATATGAGGACTCCAGTTTCCCCACTGCTTCACTAGCCCTCGTCCCCTTCATTTGAGCCATCCTGGTGGGTGTGAATGCAACTCAAGTATTCTGGAAGGGCTTAGTGATCCATCTGATCACACATCTCAGCAGAGTTAGGGACCAGGGCCCGGAGAAGATGGGGAATCGGACGGGGAGTTGAGGCTTCCTGGGACATGAGACGTGAGCGCCTTCTTGGGTTTCAGGGGAAGGACAATGACAGGGTGGTGACAGGACGCCCCCAGATGGACTTAACTTACGTCCAAGTATTGCACGAAGGTAGGAAGAAGGGCCCGGGGTTCTGTCTTCACCTAAACGCTTCTAAAAAAGAGAAGTGAGAAACAGAACCAGGAGGGGGTTTAGCGTCTGCGTCTACAAGAGACGTATTAGGAGGAGTTGGCTCTCCCAAGTACAAAGAGCCGAGAGAAGTTCTGCCACCTGCCGTCTGTGAGCGGGAGGCCTGGGACAGCGTCCTGGAGGTGCGGTGGGATGAGATGATGTGGGAGCCCAGGCTGAGATCAGAAGACGGGCTGTCCCACAGGCAGGGGACATGGGGGAAGGCTCCTCCTTCCTTCACCTTCTGTTCTCTCTGGGCCTCAGTGGACTGGATGGTGCCTCTCACCTTAAGGAGGGCTGTCCACAGGGATTCAAGTGCCAGTCATCTGGAAACAACCTCACAGACACCCAGAAATAACGTCTAACGTGAGCGCCCGCCACCTCCTCAGGTCAACACCGAAGGTGGGTCCTCACCCAGGAGAGTTCAGAATAACGTCCTGCTGGGCTCAGCTCTGACCCTGGCTGGCCCCGAGTCTGAGCAACAGAGATGAATTTGTTGCAGGGACTCATGGGGCGGTGACTGCAGGGAGAGGGTCAGAGTAGGGGAGGACTGGTGCTCAGGCCAGTCCCTAGGGCTTTGAGACATAGAGGTGGGGCGTCAGAGGCTTCCTGGAGGGGGAGGGGACAGGACAGGGGATGCTTGGCCAACCCTGACCAGGTCTCCTAAATCTAATCTCCGTATTGAGCCCTAGAGAGATTCATAAAGGGAGGAGAAACTTCCTTAGTGTACCTGGTGATCTGGAATTCAAATGAAGACAGTGTCCACTTACAGAAGACCTTTCGGCTCGGCCAGACACTGTCACACACAGCCCCATCTTGTCCTCACAAGCTTCGAGGTGGCAGAGCAGATCCAACCTCCCTCCTGCACAGGTGGGTGACTCACTGGGCCACATCCACTCAGCATCAGCCTGCAGGGTGGGCTGCTATTTAGAGGCCCTTTGCTGGGCTCTGCCAAGGGCCAGGCAATCCCTCTCCTCCAGCAGCCCATCAGTGTGGGGTATCTCCTTAGCCACTTCACAGATGAAGAATCTGAGGCTCAGAGATGTTGAACACTTTGTCCAGGGTCACACAGTCGGTAGACGGGCCAGGAAGCGGACACAGGCCTTTCTGGACCCAAGGGCCAACATTTCCTACTCACCCCTCCCTGCCCCTCAATGCTCCTTCCAGCTAGAATGTTGCCACAGACGTCAGTCCCCCACCATGACAATCAGCTGTGTGAACTTTTGCCCCGACCTAGATCCGTAGCCACGTGTGAGGCATAGGGTTCCAAGCCCATCTACCAGAGCGCCAGCCCAGGTCAAAGCCCTGCTCTGCTGCTTACTGGCTGGGTGACCTTGGCCTGGTCGGTGACCTCAGCGAGGTTCTTGGTTGTCCATCCTAGAGAGGACAGAGGTAAGTGGTCCCTGGTCTTAGCATAAGTCAGCTGTTCCTGGGGTCACCCAGTCCTATGATTTAGAGAGAGATTCTTGGCTTCCGTCCATGCACCTGTTGAATTGGAATGTGGGCGGCTGGGCCCCCTGTATTGCCCACTCTGTGTGTCCACCAAGTTTAATGCCCACTAAGTTTGGGAATTATGGCCACAGCAGTGGTTAAAATAAGCGTCCCAGGCCCTGGGCAGAGCTCTGGGTCCAGGGTGCCCCAGGGAGCTCTGCGATTGCATTGACAGTGTCTCCATCACCCTTGAGGGTCAGGCTGTGCCCAGCGCTGAGTCACTGGGAGGAGGTCACTGGCTCTCAAATGCGCCCTCCGGGCAGTTCTAGAGCCTGCTGAACCTGGCCATCTGTGACAAAGGAGGGTAACTGCTCCTGTGGACCTCTGTGGCAGCAGCCGAGAGAATGAGATGGCCTTGTCCCTGGGAAGTGTCAGAACGTGGCAGGGATGGCCGTGGAGCGTCCAGGACGTCGGTGAGGTCAGAGGTTAACAAACTGTGGAGTGACTGAGACGATGATGTGAACACGCGGGGGCAGAGCAGCCAATGGGCACTGCTTAGCAGGCACACAGTGGCCCTCCGTGCCCTGTCAGGCACCGCGGGTGGGACCCAGCAGCTCACCTGGGGCTGTGATGCTGCCGCTGGCCAGCAGATGGGGGTCCTCCCTCATGCGAGGCTCCAGGACAGAGTCCAGCGTCCTGGTTAAGGCTGGAGTCCAAGGAGTTTTGGGGCCCGGAGCCACTCAGCAAAGTGGCGATAGGTGTCCATGAGTTCCACTCAAGGGCCTGCCATGGGTCCCTGCTCCAGAGGAGGCCTGGGATCACCCTCAGGTAGGTGGGAAGGCAGGCACCCCCAACCCCACCGACTCAGGGACCAGACGCTCCAAATGCCCCCGCGGCTCTGCAGAGCACACCCAGCTGAGAAGACAGAACAGCTGCCCCCAGACTGTGGTGGGGAGCCTGCACTCCAAGGGGGGCTGCCCAGACCCTGCCCCTTTGTCACAACAGGTTGCTGGGGAGGGACGGGCCCAGGGGGTGTGGGCATCCAGCCCAGGGGAAAATGGAACCTGCCTCCTGTCCCCAAGCAATGGAGCACAGATTAACCTCTCATCCTTCCTTATCCGCCCTCCTACTCCAGCAGCAGGCCAGACAGTGAAGACAGGTTTCTTGATGGGTGAGGTCAGTGAAGGCCACATCTGACCAGGGACAGCAGTCCTGTGACTTACACCCTGGGGTTGGAGGGCGGGTGTGGGGAGTGGAGCCAGTAACAGTCAGTACTTGCAGGAATCTGAGGCTGAGGGACTCCTCAAATCTCACACTGAACACCTCACTTATCTGTCCCTAGTCCTGGTCCTGACCACTTAGGGGGCTTGTGTATTTTTCTGATCTGTGTGTACATTTCTGAATCCAATCATGTCATTTGCAAAACCCCCCAAATCTTCTCACATACTTAGAATAAAATCCAACTTCCCTTTCTGATCTAGAGGCTCCTCAGACCCTAGCCTCACCTTGCACAACTGCTGCCACCACCTTGTCCTCTCTGTCCCAGCCATAGCTCCTGCCTTTCTGCCTCTGTGCTACATAAGCTGTCTTCTGCCACAGGGCCTTTGCACTAACTGATTCCTCTGCATATAGCAACTTTCCTTCCAATAGACACATGACTCTCAGCTAAAGGTCATCTCTTGGGCATCCTTCCCTGGCCACTCTGTTGAAGGTAGCAGCTTCCAGTCACCTCTGCCATTTGGGCCTATTCTTTGCACTCCTATCTAGCCAGTATCCTAGTCTCTTGGCTTCTCTAGGACAGGAGACGGACCATATGGGTGGGTTCAATGCTGTATCCTGGGGCCAGAGACAGCTCCTAGCCCCAGCAGTTCGACTAGGATGCACTGAGAGGCCTCCCTGGGGAAACTGACCTCGGAGGAGCACTGGCTTCCCTGGGGACGCACTGCATCCTGTCACATGGCTGGGTTGCCACTTCCACGTGGGGCAGACCATTCTGCCCAGTTTTCCGCAGCAGCCTGCTCCTGCCCAGGGGTCTCCTGTGACCACCTTTGGGACTGGGGTCAGGAGATGAGGAGGATTTTATTTCCAATGTCACTGCTTCCGAGGAGGGGGCCAGGTAAGATACAGGAGACCCAGGTACGTTTGAATCTCAGATAACCCCGGGACAATGTTTTCAGTGTGTCCCAAACACTGCGTGGAGTGGACTTACACTGACAACGTTTCTCTGAAATTCACAGGTAGCTGGCATTCCGTTTGTCATTGGCTACATTTGACACCCTGTTTGGGGGCTAAGCCCCTCCTCGATGCTCCTCTCTCCGGGGTCATCTCAAGGCCTCAGCTGGCCACTGGGAGCATTCTTCCACCAGTTCTGGCCTTCAGCCCACAGCCAGGGGGGCGGCTTCTCTGCTCTTCAAAGCAATCTGTGCCTTGGATGTGAAGGTCACCAAATGTCAAGTGGGGCCCCTGAGGACACTGAA